TTCTTTGTCTTAAAAATGCCAATATCGATCACGTCGCCCCACCAGGACGACCAAATCTTCCTCTCAGTTGTCACATAGGTTTTCTCTTCATCCGACACCCCACCATACGCTGCCATGTCAAAATTGATATCAAATCAAAATCTGAGTGGAGAGAGGAGAAAATTAAATGTTGACAATAGGAGATTGGTGGGTGATGGGTGTTTGGTTTACATGGTGTTTAGTGGTGGAGGCATGTTTGTGGCATTGGTGATGGGATAGAGAGGTATGAGTAGCCATGGAGTGGATGTTTTTGGGTGGGTTTCAACAATGGAATGTGAAAATTAGATCCACCCCATATGTAGAGAGAACGAGAGAGAGAGAGGATTAAAAGACTTCCTTGCCCTTCAAACTTCCTCACATGCTATTCACATATTTTTTTTTGTAATTTTTTTGGACGACAGTTAAGGATAAGGACCAAAATAAATTAATGTATTAACATGAAAACACATTTTGAAGACGAAAGTGCAACAAGTAATAAATCTTATGATTTAATTGTGTAATTTACCCTTTGAAAATACGGAAAAGTAATTGCACAACCACGTCATCAACCGTGTCCACTTCCTGAAGGTCAACACTGACCGTTTGATCGTTACCCACACAAACAGCCCCAGCCGTTTGGATTTGCTCTCAAACACTCGTCTCCTCGTTTTTCTTCTGGATCCGATCCTGTAACTCCTACCTTTTAAATCACTTCCCCCTTCAGTTTCCTCATCTACTTCTCTCTTCACCTCCACACTCTACAGTCAATATTTCTCCAAATCTTAGCATGGCTAGTGAAGAACAACCTAATAGCCTCAAGCCCCCACCTCCAGCTCCGGCTCCTCCCTCTCTCCCTCACTATCCGGAGGTAAGAGAAAGCTGTGCTTTGTCGGAGTTTTTTTCTTTCATGTTCTCACAATCAAAACACCATCTCTCTCAAAATACCGACCGCTAAACCTCACCTGTGTTGTTATTTTTTTTTTCTTTTTTGCTATTTTAGTTTAGGGTATTTACCTTTTAGTCACCCAGCACAGCATACATATTTTTTGTCAAAATAAGGCTTGATTTTTCATATTAGTTTCATTTTCTACTCATCGAAACACTATTTTGTTAGAATGGAGCTAAATTCACATCGATTTTGTTAATTTTATTCTGTGCCAGTTTTTTTTTCTGTGTTTTTTTTTTTCTGGGCATCCAATAAACATTGCAAAATAGGGATGAATTTCAGCTGGGTGTTTGATAATTTTGGTACTTTTGTTTGCTACAGTTGATTATGGCAGCGATCGAGGCTTTGAACGACAAGAATGGCTCGAACAAGTCGTCAATTTCCAAGCACATCGAGGGCACCTACGGAACTCTCCCAGCTGCCCACTCAACCCTTCTCTCTCATCATCTCAACAACAAGATGAAAGCAAGTGGTCAGCTCGTCATGGTCAAGAACAACTACTTAAAGCCTGACCCTAACGCCCCGCCTCGCCGTGGCCGTGGTCGCCCTCCGAAGCCCAAGGCGGCGCTTCCGACGGACACTGTGGTGTCTCCACCGCGACCAAGGGGTCGGCCACCAAAAGCTAGGGACCCACTTGCTCCTGCACCACCACCCAAGATGACGGCAACGTCGAGTTCTAGTGGAAGGAAACGTGGGAGGCCACCGAAGGCGGCTAAGGCTTCTCCGGCACCACCGCCGGTAGTCGAGGACGGAAGGTGAAGCCACAATCCACTGGTGCTTCAGTTGGGGCTTGATTGAAAGAGATTAGATTACAGGGGGTTGTAGTGCTAATTGATGTTTTTTTCCCTATGTTTTTTTTTTCTTTATTTTTTAGTCATTTAACTGTGGTTTATTTTAGTTTAGGGTGCTTGTGGTGAGTTCGGAGTTGTTGTAATAGTAGTGATTTAGGTGGGGGAGGTTGTAACTGTAATTTGCACAATGTAAATTTATGCAGCGGCTGTTGAGGGGCTCTCTCCCCTCTCTCTCTCTCTCTCTCTCTCTCACTTTGTGCTTTTACTTTTTTTCTTGCTTTGGCGTTCGGCCTATAAATCTTCAAAGAAAAAAAGTTTTTGGCACATGGCTTATCTCTTTGTTGTTCCTTAGGTTCAAACGTGGATCTGTTGGTGAAGTTACAAAGAAGCTGTATGAAATGTTTGTAGGTGCTTTCAAATTTTGGGCTGGATGTTTGGCCGGTGGATTTACCTCATAATTGGATTCTATATAGTGAGACGGGTTCATATAAAAAAAATTATATTTATATTTGATTTGTTTATTAATTTATATTTAATGAATTATGTATTATCATATTTATGTCATATATAAATTGTAAATAATATAATTCATATGTACATGTTGTGATGTTTATTTGTTTTGATTGATTTTAATTATATTTATTGATTTTTTAGTCATGTTATGTTAAGTTTACTTGTTTATGTTGAAATTTTTTACTTTTTAAAATTGAGCTATATTTTTTTTTAAGGTAAAAATTATAATTTTAAAACGTGATTGATCTTAAAATGTTAGAATTGATTGTGGAAGTTTTAATTTTTAAAAATAAAGTTACCATTTTTAAGAATTTAGTTACTTTTTTTGAAGGCAAAATTACGACTAATGAGGGAATTGGCATGATTGATTGTAACATTTACGGTTAATTGTGAATATTTTTTGATCAATTATAATTTCACTTTCAAAAGATATAATTTTATTTCAAAAAATAATAATATTTAGTATGATATTAAATATTTTTTTTCCGATATCATAGCATTACAATAGTTCTAATTTTGGAAATGTAGATGTACTATGGAAATGTGGAATAAATGTGATCCTAGCATTTTTTAACGGGTGCTTGTAGGGTGGAGAAAGTAAAAAAGTTTGAATTTTGACACTAAATATGGTGGGAAGGAGAAGCATGAACCAGGTACATTTACAATTAAGAAAACTTGTCAAACTAAGTACTTTTGGTGTATTTGGTATTTATTTGAAGGGTTAATGCAACTTTGCATCATAAAAGATTTAAATATTTTAATTTGTACTTTACACATAGAGTAGTAATTGTGAAAATTTATTTTTTTTAAGCGTGAAAATCACCCATCTTGCTTCCTTATGTGATACTTGAGTATACGTTAAAGGAAAAAAATATATAGGAAAAAATAAAATGGAAGGAAAAGGAGGATAGAAATGGAAGAGTTTTGCAATTCTGGTCAGAGAGCAACGACAAAAATTTTTTGGACAAATTTTAGAGCAACTCTAACGGGAGTTGCCATCAGGGGTGTCATCCCCATAACCACTAAAATGACACCCAAACTACAAAAATTGGAACTCTAATGGAGGTGGCAAAATAACATCTAGGATTTTGAGGTGGCATATTTGACAACTTTGGAGAGAGAATAGAGAGGTTGCAAAATAGCCGTTGGTGGCTACTGTTCCTCAACGGCTATATTCCACCCAAAATTTGTATAAAAATACAGAGAGGAAAGGGGAAGGAAAAACTTGCCTGAAATTGATTACTTCCAAAAATAGCTCCCTGAATCCTTATCTTTGATATCAAAAACCCTAGCTTCCCTGACCCTTACCGTTGGTGTGCTCTCATAGCCCGTTGTCGTTGTCTGGTCTAGTAAGGGGAAGGGGTCTGGTCTGGTTTGGTAAGAGGAAGTGGAAGAAGACGACTGAAGGAGAAGGAGGTAGGAACCGTTTTATTTAGGGGAAAGGGGAGGAGTTGTAATTTATAATTACATCTGCCCCTATTCTTGTTTTAATTTATAAATTTTAGTTTTAATTTATAATTTATAATTATATTTGCCCCTATGTTCTTGTTTTAATTCATAAGTTCTAGTTTTAATTTATAATTTATAAATACATTTGCCCCCATGTTCTTGTTTTAATTTATAAGTTCTAGTTTTAATTTATAATTTATAATTACATTTGCCCCTATGTTGTTGTTTTAATTTATAAGTTCTAGTTTTAATTTATAATTTATAATTACATTTGCCCCTATGTTGTTGTTTTAATTTATAAGTTCTAGTTTTAATTTATAATTATATTTGCTCCCATGTTCTTGTTTTAATTTTTAATTTTTAATTTATTATTTTATGCTCATTCTTTAAATTGATTATAATTTTTTTTTGTAGATGAATTCGCAATTTGACGGTTCTTTCATTGATTTGCTTATGAACGACACCTATTTATATGATGATGCAATGCAGACCAATCCCACAGTATTGACGCCTGTACAAAATGAAGTCGTTCCAAGAGTGAAAAAATCGCAAAGGACAAAGAACTTCTCTATAGAAGAAGATAAATTAATTGTGTCTGTGTGGCTTAACACGAGTAAAGATGCAATTACTGGGAATGAACAACAAGGTGGTACTTTCTAGCAAATAATATTGCAATACTTAGATATTCATGGAGGCAATCAAGAAGAGCGTTCACAATCTTCTATTCAAAGTTGTTGGACTGATATAAATGCAAAATACGACAAATTTGTTGATTTTTATAGTCAAATTGAAAGACTGCGACAAAGTGGACACACTGAACAAAATAATGTAATGATTAAACTTTTAATTTAGACACCATTATGATTTGATATTTGAATTATTGACTGAATAATTTCATATGTTTTTCAGGTTGATGAAGGAAAAGAAATGTTTGCTAAGATTATTGAAAAACTATTTCAATACGAACATTGTTGGAATATATTCAAAATGGAGCGGAAATGGACTAATAACCTTACCAGCAATAAGAGAGCAAAAACTCATGAGACTGATAGTTCTGTTAAATCAACTCATATTGAATCTTGCTATTCAACTCCATATTTAGAGGATGACATTGAACCCTCGTTCATTCCCAACCTCGATAAGCCATTAGGCAGAAAGCCTTCGAAGAAACAACTTAAAAACAAAGAAAAATAAATCGGTGTTGAAGCATCACTAGATCATCCTCACTGAGATGAAATAATGGAAGTGGAACAACAAAAAGTTGAGCGACACGACAAAATTTATGCTCAACGGGAGATAGCATTGGAGCAACATCGTAGACAGTTAGAAATTGAAGAAAGGAAGGTGCAAGAAATTGAAATGCAGAATGAAATGAAAATCATGGAAACTGACACTACTGACATGGACCCAATTTCTACAGCATATTAGAATAACCAGAAGATAGAGATTATGAAAAAGCGAGGCTTTAATTTTTAGTTGTTATTTATTTTGTTGCTATTATTTTTTAATTTGTAATCATTATTTATTATGTTGCTATTATTTATGAAAAACTATGTATTGAAAATATAACTTGAAATTGAAATTGGAATTGAAACTACAACTTGAAATTGAAAATACAACATAATATGGTCATTGAAATTTAAAAAATTATTAGTCGTCATGTCGTTCCCACAAATGCTCGATAAAATCTGACTGCAGTTGATAATGAGTAACATTGTCCCTGATCTGACAATGGGTTTGCATGAAGTCTTCCAATTCTGGTGTATACGCATACGACACTTCTACAGGCGGATTTACATCACTTCCATCAAAGTCATTGTTACCAATATCTCCTTCATCCTCAATGACTATATTATGCATTATTATGCACGCTTTCATAATATCTGCAAGTATTTCTTCATCCCAAAAGCGTGCTGGTCCATGCACGATTGCAAAACGGGCTTGAAGTACCCCAAATGTCCACTTTACATCTTTTCTTGTCGACTCTTGTGCTTTAGCAAAATATTTTTTCTTCAAACCTTGTGGACAGGGAATTGTTTTTACAAATGTCTACCAGTTTGGATAAATACCATAAGCTAGATAATATCTCATTGTATACTCATGACCATTAATTATAAGGAGCATGACCATTTGCTAATAATGCAAAAATAAGGGACCTATTTAGAACATTTATGTCATCAGCGAACCAAGAAGCCCAAAGAATGCATGTCATATCCAAAGATCTTGAGAAGCCACAACTTCTAAAATGATTGTTGGTTCATGACAATGACCAGTTTACATACCTTGCCACACGGTTGGACAATTTTTCACTTCCAATGCATGCAATCAATACTCTCTAACATGCCGGGAAAGCCACGTTGTTCCCCCCGTCTGTAACAATCGAGCAATATCGATATTGTTTGGTGACCTCAGGTAATGGTCGCCAAACACTACAATAACAACTTTCATAAACCTTCTTAGACTTTGTATAACAGTGTTTTCTTCAATTCTGATGTATTCATCCACAAAATCTACCGTTGTTCCATAAGCAAGAATTCTATAAGCAGCTGTTATCTTTTGAAGGGATGACAAACCGAGAACTCCAATGGCATCTATTGTTTGGATGAAGAATGGATCGTGTTATTCACCCTAATTTACAATTCGGAGAAAAAGAGGATCATTCGGAATCTCTTTCGGAAAAAATTTTCATATACACAAGGGATAGCAAAATAGTCACGATAAAGTCTTTGGTGACCTTCAACTCTACCATGATTAACTATTTTATGGTCGGGAACGGAACCGCGGTGCCTTCTTATCCGTCCCTGACTAGACCTTTCTGATCTTCTAGTTGCAGTATACAACATATCCAAGTCATCATTATCTTCTTCTTTAATATTGAAGATCTCTCCTAAAATATTAGGATAACGATTCATGTAACTTAATGAATGAAAATATGAAAAGATAAATAGTCAAAGAGAAAGGAGATATTGAATTTATAGAGAGAATGTAAGATAGATGGATAAAAAT